TATATGTCTGCTAAACAACGTGAAGTCACAGCTTTGCCTGTGAACTCATGCCGCTGCTGAAGCATCTGGAGATCAAACTCTTGGGACTTTTACGTATCTATACGTATCTCAGTGAGTTGGTCGATACGATCCAGCAGTTTCTTTTCTTTTCTCAGAAGAACGTCTATAGCTGCCATGCGTACTTTCTGAACTTGGTCTTTCATATCCTGTGCTTTTCAATTTTCGAATTTGTTGAAGAAATATTATCAGTGTAAGTTTCAATTTTTTTCTCTTGGTTTCTAGTTTCAGTTATCAGACTTTCTTTTACAAGAGGCGTCATTGTATCTATGGTTTCAACATCATCACACTTCCTGTGTTTGATACTGCAGCATACAGTACAAATTGCCATCCTGCAATCTTTACAAAACAGTTTTATCTTCTCATCCTTGTGAATTCTGCACATAAAGCGCTGTACCTTTGGTTTCTCGTTGCTATGGATACGTAAGTCAATCACTTCATGGTCACGTGACAGCGGCATCTTCTTGTGTAACTTGAGACATCCATCACAAAAGACATCGTCACAAATGGTGCACCACACAGTGCCTGGAGTTGTCTCCCAATCTTCTTTGCACACGCTACACGTATCTGAACATAAAGCACAGCGTGTCACAAATAATGCAATTTCTAGAAAACACAACCACATACCACAACTTTGAATACAAAATTCATGCACACGCGCCATAGTTGCCAGATGTTTAAATGTCAATATAAACCAGCTCACTTCGAACTCGGGACTTGTCTTGTATAGCTCCAGGCTGTGTTTTAATATATTTTAGCAGACCGGACCTACAGAATGTGTGATTACACTGAAGTGTGGCAGGGTCTGTGAACACTTCTGTACAGATGACACAGGTCAGATGGTTGTCTGTCAGCTTCTTAGCGGTAGCCAGTTCTGGAGGAAAGAAATCCTCCAACTTAGCCTTGGCTTCAATACGAGTAAAACCATATTTTATAAGACGTGGTATGTTGAGTATATCCAATGCTCTTTTCTCCATTTTCCAGGCTCTCGTAAAGTATTTGTTGACTGTGACTTTGATACACATGACACTCTATGGCTTTAGTTTTATTGCTTCCTGTGATCATATAGGAGGGTCAACCAGAATGTTATCAATAATTAACATTACTACTTTTAATCTATTATATTCTATTGGGTATTTCGAGGCAGATCTACAATAGGTACCCAATGCTCAATGCTTGTCAAAAGATACGTCTTAAACGAGGACATATGCCGACACACACATAGAGACACACTCAGACACACATGTACACACACACACACACACACACACACACACACACACACACACACACACACACACACACACACACACACACACACACACACACACATATATATATATATATATATATACATATACATACACACATGTTGATACACACACATTAAGGAAGTGTACATTACCTGATGCCGACCATTATGTCTACATCGCAAATCTATGAGTGGTTACATACATACATACATATACACACACATACATAAAATACATCGAATACATTTAAAAATTTTGTTCCCACTGTTTTCAAATTTTATCTCGATGTATTTAATATCAATCAGATTATATCAGGATAATTCATCCTGTGCAATAATTCATTGTCGCTTGGTGTCATTGGTACTAAATTATTGCGAAGTTCAAATGCTGGATTCACTTTATCACCACTGTTTATCACTGCAAACTTGATTACATTAGTAGAACCTGTTCAGCCATACTGAAACATACAGCAGTTTGACTCCATGTACAGCTACGAGTCCCTGTGTCCATTGCGATGTTCTGAACTACTGATAAGGGGACATGACTCTAATATCCATATGCACTCCGCGACCATAATATAAACACTGTCACCACTGCATAATTCAGGTGTCACAAACACGTGCGATATATGGTTATGCCGTTTAGAAACGACCTGATAGTACATTCAACATCGTTTAACATGTTGAACTTATTTCAACCTTCAAGTCAGGACTCGAGGAATTTTCAAGCTACTTTTGTTATCAAAGTTCAATTTACCTTATTGTCGACTATATCGCATACCTGTGAGTGCTTTTAGCACGAGTCAGTGTTGCATAGAATGAATGCGAAAACAACAGATTCCAACAGTTATGTTAGTGTTTTACCTTAACAGATACTGCAATGTTAAGATATAATGTATGAAAGACACAGTACACTAAATCATGTATAATTCAAATTCTATTTGCAACTTCTAATTTCATAATACAATATATTCGTTTCCTGCAGAAATAAATAGGCTACTATCTTTCTGTAATCTGTAAGTGAAACCTTTGACAAACTAAACAATAATTGGCAAAGAAACATTGATCTTTAAAGACCTTCATATAACTAAATTTTAGTTTTAACAATAACTACACGACCATAAAGGCACAAATGGCCAAAGCTTGAATAGTGAATGAGTTTATAAAATATCTGCGTTCTTCATTTAAGTAGTATCAGCACAACACTTGACGATAGGGCAACTAAGGTGACAGATGATACTGATGCCGTGGTTGTTTTAATGTTGTGATGTTTTCGTTTTATTGGATTCATGGAATATGAAACATTCTAATACGCATACTTGTGTTTCTAACTGTATGGTTTGTTCGTTTGTATCAATAGTATTCCACTTATACTACGGTGTGTAAGCTTAATTTGGGAGGGCAACACAAAGTGATTCATGCCTCAGACGTTTACCACATTACTGAAACACATGGTGCTGACAAAACTAGAAACATGATGTTGGCGAACCGGAATTGGAATCAACGGTCATAAGGTTGTGGAGTGTTCACGGGACGCAGGTCGGCACAGTGAATTGCAGAGCAATAGACGATTGGACCGACTGTCCAGTGCGCTGGAGCTGGAATATTGCTTAGTGCGGCATTAAACAACTAACACATACAGACACACAACACACACGCACACACGCACACACGCACACACACACAACATACACACGCACATACATACACACTCTCACACGCACGCGCGCGCGTTTACCTGAAAATTACCTAATAAAGTAACCGTTAACAATTTGAAAATCGACTCACGACAGACGATGCACGACAGACGACTGACGTTTGGCGAAAGAGCAATGACATAAGCTCACTTGGTTTGTAGTTAGGTTAGCTAAACTTGCCGCTCAAAACATATTTACAAAGTTGTTGTCTTGGCCTATTTCTGATGGAAATGAATGATATGATTAAGTCATGTTTTCAACACGATTTTGTCAAGTTAGTTGATAGGGCATAGTATGCGGAAACTTCCCATGATGTATTCTCTATTTCCCATGATGTATTCTCTATGTTCATGATGTTTTCTGTATTTCCCATGATTTATTCTCTAGTTCCATGATATAATCTCTATTTCCATGATGTATTCTCTATTTCCCATGATGTATTCTCTATTTCCTATGATGTATTCTCTATGTTCATGATGTATTCTGTATTTCCCATGACGTATTCTCTAGTTCCATGATATAATCTCTATTTCCATGATATAATCTCTATTTCCTATGATGTATTCTCTATGTTCATGATGTATTCTCTATTTCCCATAACTTATTCTCTATTTACATAATATACATTCTCTATTTCCCATGAAATATTCTCTATTTCCCACGATGTATTGTCTATTACCCATGATGTATTCTCTATTTCCCATGGCGTATTCCCTATTTCCGATAATTTAACTCTATTTCCCATGGCGTATTCCCTATTTCCAATAATTTAACTCTATTTCTCATGCTCTAGGTTCTATTTCCCCTGATGTATTCTCTATCACGTGATACTCATGAAACCCCATGACGTAAGTTGTAAGTTTTATGCTTGCTGTGATCATGCCAAAAAATCAATACATCATGTTGTCAACAATTACATTACCATTTTAGTCAACTATATTCAAGTGGGTTTTTCGAGGCAAATTATAAGACGACTTGAACCCGGATCGGGTGGTTCAGCATGTGAACATGCATTAGTGTACCTCTGTATCTACAAGCCAAGACATATTTTGCATATATATATATACATAATATGTCTGTAAATTGTCGACATGAAAGTAGTTTGCACTTAATAAGCCGTGACTTGAATTTTGAACATATGTGTGTGTGTGTGTTTGCGTGCGTGCGTGCGTGCGTGCGTGCGTGCGTGCGTGCGTGCGTGCGTGCGTGTGTGTGTGTGTGTGTGTGTGTGTGTGTGTGTGATACTAATAGAATACATAAAATACCCACTGTTTTAATCTTGTCTCTTGTCGAATACAATATGTCAGTTACAATATATAGGTGTAATTGATTGTGTGCAATATATCATTTCTCTTGCTCTCATTGTTACTACATTATTGTGTAGCTGAATTGCTGGATATAATATATCATCATTGTTTGTCATTGCAAATGAACGATAGCACCTGATTACATTTTCATAAAACATTTTCAGTCATGCTTACACATAGAGCATTTTGCATTTAAATACATATACGAGTTGTGACGCACTAATAAAGGGACATAACTCTAATATTCATATGCTAAGTCCGTGACCCGAGTAATAACACGACATGTACCATCACTGATTAACTCGTGGTTTTTAGGTATCACAATAATGCCACATAAACAACAATGTGATTAAGTTTTTTCAACATACCTAATAAACTGTTTGGCAAAAGAAAATATACACATGAAAATATACAAATGCGATACCTGTGTCAAATACATCACCATCGCATAACCATTTCTTGTTTTTTCCATTTTAGCCGCCAGAATTCGTGTTTACTTGCCCTGCAGTTTAGAACGTTTCAGATGGCACACTTACTTCAACTTTCAAGTCACGGCTTATGACGTGCAACTTGCCTTGATGTCGACTGTTTTCTAATCTGGAGGTTTTGACACGATTCATTGTTGGTTAGATTGAATGCGAAAACAAAAGATTTAAGATATTTTTCAACAGTGATCTCGTGTTTTACCTTTTCAGATACTGCAACATGGACGAGCACCCGGGGTAGACAGGGATTCACTTCCTGGTGGAGTCCACCCAACACTGATGACCTAGGATACGAAGTTGCTATGAGGGAAGGAGGTATGTGATCACGTGACACTCTGTAGCTGAGGTTATCACTTGTGACCTGTCAATAGTGTTGTCACCCTGCGATAGAGTATTTATATATTGCATTTACACAGAGAAGATTTGCGGCCAACCTGTAATTGAAACCTATGTCAAAACTAAAACAATTTACAAATAAATCCAATCTTTAATGAACGTCGTGTAAGCAAAATTCCAGTAATATCACGGCGGGGAACGCTTTAACTAGTAGGCTACCCGACCGCCCCCGTGGCGTAAGGAACAACTACGCGATCGTTAATGCACAAAGTGCTTAAACCTTGAGTTAACTGTAAGTGACTTTAATATCATTATCTACAATCAGCTTTTAAGTGGTATCTAAGCGACAGTTAAACATAGGAGAAACTGCAAAAGCTGACATAAATGATGTGCTGTGAACATAGGTATAAATTAAAGCAATAATAAAAAAAATAGATACTTAAGTAGTTGAACTGACGTTAGAGATTGATATATCCGTGTCATGTCTGATGCTAGACTAACATCTAGTCTCTGAAATGAACATATTTTATAGAAAAAACACTTGTTAAATTATAGCTATAAAATATAATAGGAGCCCCAGAGACTTTCTTCATTATCCTGATACTGCAGTGATCTAGACTTGCCATATATTATAGACTTGCATGAGCTAGCGCTGTATATATTTGTTTCAGGGTCTGTATGACAGACTAGTCTGGTGCAAGTGAAGCTGGACACTGTAAACAGTCAACAGTCGACGACGACTGCTATGTATTTCAAAACAGACAGACATACAGTTTTATTCAATATAATGGGCCATTGACCAAAAGTACAATTGATACTACAACAGGAAAGTTTCCAACGAGAATATACAGACGGTATCACAAACAGATGAGAGAAACAAAATTATAGTTACATTGTATTTCAAAGACCCGATAGTACATTTCACATGACACACTTATTTAATACAAATTCAAGTCAGGACTTGTGAAATTGAATTTTCAAGCTTCTTTCCTTTACTTTGATGCCGACTATATCTAAAATGTATGAACTTTTTAACACGATTCGGTGTTGGGTAGGCTGAATCCGGAAACAAAAGATTCAAGTAATCTTTTAAAAGGGATCTAATGTTTTACCTTTACAGATACGGCAACATGGACGAGAACACGGGACAGACAGCATCTCACTTCCTGAGTTAGACCACCCAACACTGATAATCAAGTCACACGATGTTACTTGGCGTGAATGTATGCGGTCACGTGACATACTACCTAAATCAACTGTGAGCTGTCAGCAGATTATCATGTTGTGAGAATTTATTTTGAAGAAACAAAATTGGAATGAGAAGTACATTGCTTCCTCCGCACCTCATATGTGAAAATGATTTTGTGCCATGTTTAGATACTTTGTTTGGAATACGCATTAAAACATTTGCAATGCTCTATTATATAACACATGCAAAATATTCGTTTCTTGTTGCAATACATAGACTACAAACTTTACATAACACAGTTAAGACAGGACCTGTCACCTTACATCTGTACATGTTTAACCTATATTGAAATAAATACATACTTGACATGTCAAAAAGACACTGACCTTTAATTACCTTCTTATATTTAGCAACATCACCGGTTTAAGAATAACTAAACACATGCTTCAATTAATTATAAATGAACTAAAAACATAATCTGTCATCTGCGTTTAAGTGGTATCTTTACGACAGTTAAACATAGAAAAATTAAGGCAAAAGCTGACACTACTGATGTGATGTAAGTATTGATATACATTGAAGCAATTAGCTAAAATAATAGAGATACTTTAATAAGGTTCTTTAACGTGAGATCGACGGTAGGTGTTGATATATCTTTGTGTTACGTCGTGTTCGAGTGAAGCTTGAAACTATATCGTTATTGATACTGTATGACCGTTTCCGATAAATGGAATACTAGTATATATAGAGTAGACAAACTATCCTCGTGCCGTTTGGAATTTGTAAACAGTAGAAGTCATTGTCTTGGGTTAAAAAGTACATCTGACCAGTTTCAGTGGCAAAGTGATGAGTGTGTCATTTGATTGTTATGTCACTGTAACCAATGACGTCAGAATAGTTTCAAGAAATTCAATGATGCAATTTCATTGTAGCCATATTTCCTGGGAGATATCTCTTGATCTTCTCAGTGCTTAGCTATGCGATAATGTGACTGCCGCGATCTCCATCGCATACATTTCTCAAGTGATACACTGTATGAAAATGCAACTGTCACGATCTTCATGGCATATGTTTATTAAGTGATTCACTGTATCTAATGCAACTGTCGATATCGTATACATTATCCCTGGGGTTCAGTTTTACTGTAGCTGACACTATCACCATCATTTATTATTTCCCCCAGTGATTCACAATGAACATTAGCCATGCTGTCATGACATCCATGGAAAGCCGTTTACAGACAATCACCGACACATCCGGTAAAGCACGTTTACTGACTCTACCTCCTGTTCTCATCGGTGCTTGGAGTATGCGATCTGTTGTTATTGGGACGCATGAGTGTGCATTTTGTCACAATATTCTTTTATTGTTCAATTCGTTTGCACCAAGTTGTTGTTATCTGCCATAGGAATGAATGTTCATACCGATTGTGCTCCACTCGTCATGCTGAGCTGCAAAGGGTTAGTCCAGATTTTGCGAATACATGATGTTGGTGCACACGACGTTCAAGGTCATCTCACAGATCAATCAGTAGGGTAGATGTTCGAGTTGGTAAAGGCAGCACCTTGATGTTCCCAGTTCCCATCAGGAACCACTGATACACTAGTTGTACGTGGGCAGCTTCATCCCATTGGGATTCAAACTGGCGTCCAATCCTGCACATAAAGGATACCACGACTGAGCGCAAACTCACGGTAACGAGCATCTGTGAGACCGTCATCAAGGCGAATGAGGTCTGTTCTAGAGCTGTAGGTGATGCCAACAACCACCATACCAGTTTCACTGTCTATGTGACGCAGCTGGTATGAATAGTCGAGGAAGAACCTCTATTTGTCAATGGACACGGTGTGACACCAATGATGCAACTGCCTAACACTATGACGCCGTGCCAAGAACGTTCGTAAACGTTGGAATTCCGGGTTAAAATGTGTCCCCAGCAACCCATGCGTACCACATACAGGACTAGGTGGTCAGGCTCGCTGACTTGGATGATGGATGTCAGCATATTCCAATTGCGTGGGCCGATGCTCATGATATCAATCACTCGATTGTCTGGTCCAGACGTATTTACAGACCTCCGTCTTATTGCTTTAATATTGCCAAGTGAGGCGTTAAAAACACAAACAAATAGACATGTGTCCTCAGCAGTCATCTTGAAACTGACTGGCGACCTTTTAATTCTGTAACTTGCAAACACGATGACGTACTATTTGATAACTCAAATGCCTGTGCGATGATGAGCGTAATGTAGCCTTTAACGCTAAGAGTGTTATCCGTCGGTTGTAAATTTACGTTTACCACGATTGTGACGCATTTACACATGGACAGTTTGCCTAAGCAAATTCCATTACAATTAACGTTCACTAATTGATTTATTGAGATCATCAGCAACTTATCGATGTAATTTCCATGACCTCGCTCGTATCACGCCATTTGTGCACTTCCGTAAAGTACAGTTTCATGTACACTACTGTTTTCGAAACAACACTTTTCCTTAATTCTTTTATGCTACACGGCAATGCGTGAGTAAGAAATCATGGAAGTAAACATTTGCATGCATTTTCCATGCATTCGTTGCGTTTGAGTAGATTCAACATGGACTATTCCAAATCACTCCTAATGCGAACCCTTATTGGATTCGAGGTGATGTAATGGATTCGATGGTCCGAGTTGGTGCTTTGGCTTTGGGTCGTTGGTCATAATACTGGATTGGCTGGGCCGTTAAACAATAAACGAACGAATATCCAGTTTAGTTTTGAAATTGAAAATATCAACCTCCTCCCGCTAATTCATATCCCTCTCATTAATATTTCCTGTTCCTGAAACGCAACACTGGAGATCGAGTATCCATATCTTAGTCTTAGACGAGTAGCTTAATCAAATAATTAAAAAAGACAAAGGATAGTGTATTTCTGCCGCTTGTGTGATATCATAGAATTAGATATATTTAAGCAACGGCCTGTGCTCACATCATCTCTGAGCCACAATATATCGGTTAAAATGGTTGTGGTTTACTGCTAGCTCTGCTCAAGCATGGCTCGGACATTTGCAAGTTGGCAATAAACCTCAATTCATTATTGAACACGGTGTGACGCCAATGACGCCAAAGACGCATGCCTAACGCCATGACGACGTACCCAATACGTTGTTAAATGTTTGTCATGTTTGTGATTCCAATCACTGGACAACATTTTAATCCTGCAGTTCTCAACCCCGATTGCACTCTGCCCATTCACTTAATCATCTGTGGATGATAGCCCTCTGTTATGTTAGATGACAATCTCAATCTATCCCGCAACGTCTTACCTACACCAATATATATATATATATATATATATATATATATATATATATATATATATATATATATATATATATATGCAGAATTATGACTATTACGTGTTTCAGATGTATACCACGTACAAACGGTGTAAGGTAAGGCGTTAAGGGTAATATTGATATTGTCATCTGACATAAACATGGTTATCAATATGTGTATTTATATACAGTATATACTTATTTTATATTATATTCATTTTTACAACAAAACAATTATTTTTTTAATACAAAGTGACATACATAGAATGATAGAAAACGAAATCAGTCATACAATGACATATGTTGTTATTAGGTTACCCCTTAAATTGCTTCATCTGCTGCTTTATATGCTTTTTATATGGCCCAGTACTTGCGAACACATATATTGTTCTGGTACCAACTGTCCACGAGGCATAGGTGGTATCGGTAGACATTTCATTTCAAACTATGCACCGAGGTTCCAAGAGATATATGGACATAAAGAAGAGGTAATAAACGTTATGAACTATATAATAACCTTTAAAGGTTTATGTTTGGTCTAGGCTGATTAGTATACCTAGAATTTGTTGTCAGGGAATTAGCGAGGGACTCCACACCTTAAAACAACCAACAAAAGCATCTTTTAGTGGCCAGTCTTTATTCGGTGTATATCATCAATCATTTACATATCACAATAAAACATAAGCAAAGTACAACCTAAAACAATTAAAATATTAAAATTATGAATGAAACAGTGACAGTATAAATCTTACTGACAATGTATCGTACAATAAACAATTGCATTTTTAAACAAATGAAACGAAGACAATTTACATTTGGTTGAAAAAAAAATACATGTGATCTAGCGCAGTTAAGGATTATGTATTGTAAGTAAATAAGATAACTCTTCGGAAAGACACGTACTACATGTGTAACCAATTACTAAAATAATCTCACATTATCTTTGATATTTATGAAGAACGTAAGGATAAGTATCACTTTAATACATCCAGCAGAAGATAACTTAAACCGAATAATAAGAATACACATATATTTATAAATATCTTACCAATTGCTAAAATAATCGTACATGATCTTTGATATTTATGAAGAACGTAATGATAAGCTTTACTTTAATCCAACCTTACAGAATATAACTTAAACCGAATAATAAGAATACACAAATATTAATATAAAATTTCAATCTTCTTGTTACATAATATGGCCACATGTTTTTATATCAAACTGCCGTTAAAAACCAAAAGTCATATGCCGAACGGCATGTCATTGAATGTGTACAATGTATACATATAAAGACCTTAAGAATACTGAAAATATAGCAATACATGAGCAAATGAATAAAAGAACAAGTGTTATGTGCGCTCACGGGTTTTGCGTGTACAGTATGGTTACCTCGCTGCATAAGTAGGCTGTTTAAACATTAATTACATCCATGGTAGTTTGAATCATATGATTTGAACACACACAGTAATTTTTTAAAGGATACATTCATTTACATTTCATTGCAAAAATTCAAAAATATATAAGATTGACCACAGGTGCACAAGAATTACTTTGCTTTCACGAGCCCGATTATGTGTAACTTTAATTTGCTGAACCAATGTATGAACGTTATTATATTATATTTTACACTATTTTAATATACACACTATTGTTTTATTATGTCTAGTGCTACATGATCTAACCTAACTATAATAATAACTTCACTGGTTACCTTAATCAATAATGCCTAATTTAAAATGTTGATTATATTCAAAGGACCTAAGCACATAGAATGCAATAGAAAACAGAAAAAAAGGAATATAGTGAAAGAACATACAATATATATGAAGTGAACATGTCTTATCCTAAAACAACCACGAGGAGCATCTATTAGTGGCCAGTCTTTCTTCGGTGTAACTGATCAGTGAGGTACCACGAATAAAGGCCGTTATTTATACCATCGTACTGATGTTTTTAGAGGTCATGATATGGTCGCATGTTCAATTATAACTAAGTTAAACAATACCTACACAATACCTATCTGAATTTAGAGATTACCTCGCAGTTTTGAAAGACATGAGTATGCAGAAATGACTAAAATCACATAAAGAAGGTTTTCTCGGAGAGCTTGTTATCATGGAGTAATGTTTATTTCTCCCGCCAGACATTTAGTCTTAACGATTAGCACATAACGCTTAAAAAATGGATCTTGGGAATAAAGGCAACACCGACTGATTATAGACTTTGGGTGGAACACACATGTAGTCTTAGCGCTTAATACATAATGTTTATCAACTAAAACTTGTGAATGAAAGCCGGCGTATATCAACGTCATATATCATATGACGCATTTTTGAACTATGACAAGTGTATACAGCTGAAATATTGCTGAATGCAGCGTTAAAAATAACAAAACAAACAACTCCCTCGTTAATTGATCTGTCCCGATAATATTTTCGGTTGTTTTTTTAAATACAAAACAAACTCGAGATAGATCTTTCACATCCTAGTTTTAGACTGACAGTTTAGTCTAATAATGAAACAAATATAGACAATGTGAGGTACTGGCATCATTTATGTATTCGTTAGATAACAAAATCGAAGTCTGAGGGGAATACCTCTTCAAAATCCTTTTAAGGATATGTGTAAATGACTTGGGTTTAATGGTTCTTTGATCGTGAACAGTATAGTAGTTCTATCAACGCCAGTGAGCCATGTCGCTCAAAAAAACAATTAAATAATGCAAAAGAGAAAGGGGTTCGTACCATTCGTAATTTATTTATTCATAAGCTTATGCGATTATGTCCATTAGGCGTGCCACAACCCCGTGTTAAATCAGATCAAATCCCCGATTAGTACTAGTTATGGTTTTTGTTTCGTCAGCGCTGAACACGTTCATGGGCAACAAACTGCCAAACGACCTGTATCGCTTAGGGCGTTCCTCCTATTTGAAGCTGATATGCTGTGACATTGCGGTAATACTACTCAAAGAAGCGTTATACCAAACTCACTCCTTCACTCGCGTACATGGAACTGCGTATACATCGATGACAGCCAAATTGCAACAATTACATAAATATATCGATATCAGGTTGCGAGCGTGCTTCGACCGCGTCAATCATTACTGTTACGATCAACTTTATATTACAATCCCTTATTGATAGGCAGGTTTTGCATACAGTTGTTTTCATCTTCCACCAGTCAATTATATGATTCATTAATCTACTATTCAACTCTAAATACCTTCAGACACTGATTGCTGATGGTATACAGCAGATCTTGTTCATCTAGGGAGATACCGCGAGGATTCTCTGTGCCATCATTTGTGAAAACATCTCTGACAAACTGCCCCGATTCTTGAATCACCTTGTGGGCGCTGCTGTCAACATACATGATTTCTCCTGAGCTGAGTTTTGTCTCCTGTGGGAGCGTAGGAGTTTTGTCTTAACTGGTCACATGAACAATGTTGCTGCCCTTCCCTGACTATCACATTGGTACTTCTCGTAACATGAATGTAAAATTGCTTCCTTGCCACACCTGTGTAAGTAGTGTCACTTTTATCTCCATTATGTCAACAGGAGTCAAACATGGTCTGTCACAGTCTATCTTGCAACATCACACACGTGACTTAATAACTCTGACACAGTAAACTTTTTGCAAGGGAGGAGACCTCCTATAACTTAGCTCTTCAATTTGTCTGTCACGTGTCAAGAGAGCGCTGGATGATACTGGTCTCTTGTCCTCACTGTCTTCATCTGTGGACGCCACATCAATAAACTTATTACATACCTAACATGTAACACAGTGCCCGAACATTAATACACAACATATACACAGTAAACGACAAATACACAATGAGGATAATACCTGTACCACGACACTGTACCAGATCATTTAGTACACAACATATATACAATGAAACGATAAATACACGGCGGGAAGTTAAATTATGGAAAGGGAATTAATGGTTGGGTAACATTTGGCTGATTGACAAAGAAGCACAGCCACAAAACAAACTACAGTTGACACGTCTTCCGGTTTTCAACACAAATAACTTAAACGTATAGAACATTTAAGAAAAAGGTCGAAGTATCACAATGTGACATTAAGTCTGCTATGACGCGTCATGGTGTCAATGGTTAGCACGTTTTGATACTACGACACACAGTGTAAATTCCCATCTTGTAATCTTTACAAAAAAGTTTTATCTTCTCATCTTCATGAAATCTGATGTGCACAGAAAGTGACTCAATTAAATATTTAACGTCTTATTCGTTATACTCCAGAGAAGTAAAATGTAGAATAGTAAAAGGCACCAGTTTAGCAGATGCCTAACGTAGTAAAGTTGTGATGTAGATTCTAACAGCTCTGTCAAGCAGGTGATCACCTTTTAAACAAAAAGGAAAAATTAAATATGCCCGAACGAGTCTTAACATCACCAAGGTTTAGGTTATTCAGTCTAAAAAATATTTCCTCATTCTGGCTGAATGAGATCCTGTGTCGGGTCGGTCTCTTTACATCCTTTTTCAATATTTTAATTTGATCTGTAGATGTAATATCTGCTTGCTTATATAGGGCATACATATCTTCATCGCAGTCTGATGTAACAGCATTGGTTGTGATCTTTATCTGTTGTTGGTACATCTGAAGGTCAATCTCCTCTGATTGGATGAACCTTTTCCAGTTTTGAACATTGTCCTCCTCGAATATGTCAACCTGGTCGAGTAGGAGTTGTTCTTTCCTCATAAGATAATCCACAGCTTCCCTGCGAACTTTTTGAATTTCACATCTAACAGAACTAGCATTTTCCGTTATCTTTTTAATTGAAGATTCTGCAGATGAAATATTGTCAGTTTTGTGTTTCATTTTGTCCTTCAGCTTCATTGTTTCTTTGGTCATGTGTTCTTTCACTAGTGTGGCCATACTATCTATGGTAACAACATCATCACATTTCCTGTGGTTTATGCTGCAGCATAAAGTACAAATTGGAATAGTACAGTCTTTACAAAAGAGCTCTATCTGTTTGTCTCTGTGGATTTTACACATGAAAAGTCGTTTGCATTTTCCTTGGACCTTCTTAGATAAATCTACCACTTCGTGATCACTAGACAATGACATATTCCTGTGTACCTTGAGGCATCTTTCACAGAAGCTGTCAGAACAAGTGGCACACCAGGACGTAGCAGGAGTAATCTCCCCTTCTCTTTTGCAAACCATGCAGCAATCAATACCTATATAGCACAAAATGAATATCTGAAAGTACTGTAATAACGTCTCCGAGAGAAAGAGTAATATATACCAATGCTTTTCAAACCCTTTCCTTCATTAGGTCAAACGTTACAATGTAGGTATATTAGAGATAATTGCAATGAAAAGGATATAAAGAATCCTACGGTAGCATACCTCGGGCCTCTTCTCCAAAGTCGTCCATTAGCCCCTGTATGACGTGGCTTGCTTTCAGCTGACTGATCCATTCCTCTACTGGACTATCAGGGATGGCAACCTTCGTCAGTTGTCTACAGGAGGGACATCGGATGGACTTAGCTTGCGTTGCTTCAGCCTGTGTTTTGGTGTATTTCAGAAGACAGCACTTACAGAATGTATGATTACACTGAAGTGTGGCAGGGTCTCTGAACACCTCCGTGCAAATGCCACAGGTGAGGTGGTTGTCTGTCAGCTTCTTAGCTGTGGCCATTTCTGATGGAAATAAATTAACTGATTAAGCTATAACTTCAATACAAGTTTGTTCAAAAAACATTTTTGTTGGGGCATAAGCCCTAGTTCTGTTATTTTTAATATTGTCTCCATCATTTATTACTTTAATAGTCACCCCTTCCAAAAGGTAATGCTTGCTGACATCATAATTACCTTAAACAATACAGCAAATAAATCAAATCAATTTAATTCCTATTTCAATCTTGATCGATGAACTTAATGTGATATTAACATGGCATCTCACAGATTTGTGTTGTATGCAATGGTTTACTTTGTCTTGGCCATTGTATCAGCTTTGTTCTCATTTCAAAAGAAAGCTAGCAGCCGGTTACAGTTACACTGACATATTTGGAAGGTATGACTTTCCATATGTTACTTTTCTCCCTGAATATCACTGTCTTATAATATAACATGTTACATATCATTATTAACGCTCATCTACACATTTCACAGAATCATTAATGAACGTTTCGTGAAGTGATCCTATGATCTTGGCTGTACATTAAATATCAATTTCGTTGCCCAAGGATCCTTCGAGGCCAGTGATGAAAACTGGTATTCAATGCATAATGCTACTTTATACTCAAGGAACGGGTAGGTCTACCATAGTTGTAATTTTCAAACACAGCAACAAAAGAGAAGGTTCCGTTTTCCGGATACCTTCCCCCAAAATTGTCAAAATATGTGGGGTGCATCTTGTTCAAATAAGTATTATAAGAATTATTTGAATCCGAAAGGTTTCCGGAATGTATCTGGGAGCAAATTGTCTTCCTGTTTTGTTTCTAGTTAATAATGTTAACCTGGGCATATCAGATAGCTGTTGTAATATTCTGTGACATTTTAGTTTTAAGTGTACCACTAGGCTACAGACGCGCCGATAAATCACAATGCTTTTAAAGAATGTCTTTTTCAGGTAAATGGATTATAAATATCAAAACCTTTTGCTTGGTAGTAGTAACATATTTTAAGGGGATTTATTTGCTATAAATACATATTTTGATGATTATCTGGTTCTCTTAGATACCCCTATACACACCTCCGTGTCATTTCAGTTCCGTGCCACATACCTTTATTACATTAACAATTGATAACTGAACAAGAAAACATAGGTTGCTAGAAAAAAATTGATTCCTCAAAATTTATTCACAACATTGAGATGACGGTATACCACAAATCATCAACGAAAATATTTATAAGATTCGAACGAATAACATTGTATTTCGAAATTTGTAAAGGAAATCTCTCGATGAAAGCTATCGTTTACTGATTGGAAATTGTAATGTAATAAATATTTTGGGTGGTAAATTACCCTAATGACGTACATATATTCAGGTTTATAGGAATGTCACTCCCACATAATTACATTTATGTTATATCCAGCGCATACTTTGTACTCAGCTACATCTCTTTACAGTAGTTGATGAGATTGTATATCTTCTTTTTTTCTGAACGAGCTTTGAATATTAAAGCTTGTTAGTTGTATAACGCGACACTAAGCAATGTTCCACCTCGATGACGCGGGTAGAGTTATCCTTCTTGTTTGAAACAGTTCTCGTGTTCATACGCCAATATGAACCTTCGAGAGGGGCACGATTCTATATTCGGCATAACTCTAATATGCATATGCATAACTCACAAATACGTGATATATACAAACTTATTGATACGTTGTTTTAGGAAGACAATTCACATATCACACATAGTTCAGCCAGAGACCATAAAACAGATCGAACATCCCCCCAGCCGCGAAACCGTCAGCGCTACGGCTTGTACTGCGCATCACAGCGGAAACGCGTTCACTGCGGTCATCGTTATCGTCATTTTTTTCTATGCTAAAGGATATATTTTAAAATATATATATACGCTCATGTACTTCTAATCATTGTCAACATTACAACTGATACTTGTTGGTGCTCTGAAGCATATCGTTGTCATTGTATTCGATGAATGTGTTCACGCTTTGTCTTAGTCCGAGTGAGCAATAAAGGCGCACATGTAAAATCGTCAAAAGTGCAGACTGTGCTTTTCTATAACTGCCACTAATGCTCAGTGAACGTCCTTGGTTACCGAGGTGTATAAAAAGAAGATGTGTTAATAATTAGTTTAGTGCCATTAACAAATGGGGCGGTCGCGAAATTTCTGATTTTGACTCCAGAAATGCAACTAATTCTGAATGTTTCTGAAATTATTTCCCCATGCATTAAGGCGAATGTTTTTCTATTATCGGTCCTGAAATAAATATTTTTACATTCAGTCAGATTTACCCTTTTGCTTGGTACCAAAAATATTTAGGTGTTATTATTTATGATTTCAGTCATATATCTATAGTTAAATTACCATATCGAAGACGACATAATATGCATTTTGTCCGTGATTGTGATCCGAATATATCTTTTGAAACATTCTACAAAGTTTCTAATTTTTATTGATATCGGAATTACAGTTTTGAAGATCTGTTTTTATTTTATTTTTACCATTGTATTCATCATCTCTTTGTAAGTTTAACATACCTATCAACTTTGTTTCAGTTAGGTTTCTATCACATGGCGCACTGAAGAAAACTGTACATATTTAGACGATCATTATATATGTTATTTTCTGTAGATTTTTTCTTTATTAATCATGGCTACAATTAATTTATTTTTTTATACCGTGTTAATATAAATTATAAGCTATATGATGTGGGTCTAAACACAATCATGATCAAAGTACTACTGACTTTGTGTATTTGGTAACAGTAGGCTGTCGGGGTGTTACATACCAGACCGTAGCTGATGGTTTGTGATAAACTGCTTCTTTATGGTCTCTGCTTCAACCTGCTGGACGGGGTTTTTGCAGCTACTTTCGTTATCGAAGGGCAATTTACCTCAAGTCGACCATATCTCAAATCTATGAGTGTATTAACTTTTAAGTGTTGGGTAGACTGATTGCGAAAACAGAAGAATCAAGTTATTTTTCAACAGTGACCTAGTGTTTTACCTTTACAGATACTGCAACATGGACGAGCACCCGAGGTAGACAACGTCTTACTTCCCTGTTGTCGCCTCCCTGTATTGATGATCACGTGACATGATCAAGCCGTCGGGGAGAATGCATGTGATCACGTGATACGCGTACACTGTGACACAGTTTCTCAGATCTATTGTGAGCTATCACATTGACAGAGGATATGTAGTGAAACACGTTGTGAATTATAACTAGTACACTGCTCCCACTGCAGCTCATATGTGAAGTTCGTTCTGAGCCATGTTCAGATAGTATGTATGAAATATACATTACACAGAAGAACGAATCATGTAAAGTCAAATTTATTCTGCAGTGACCCATTGTATCACACAATGAAATCGTTTCCTGCTGAAATACATAAACCGACAGACCGACATAAGGTGTTGATATATCTGTGTGTTTTGTATGGTCAGAGTGAAACTGGAAATCGCTAGTGATACAGCATGGTCGTTTTTGCTTAAAAGAACCTCAAAATGCAATGTGCATACAATACAGAATGTTATCCTCCAGTCTTTTGATATCAAATATTTCAACACTCGATGAGTGCTGTATTTTATATATATTACCCATTGTAATTTTAATACAGCAAAATGAAGGGAAAGATATGAAATGTTAACCCCAAACAAAAATTAATTTCACTGAAGTCTGCCTGTTGTTCAAATGTCGTATGTCATGTCATATTGTACATTAAGTTGTTTTCAACAGTGGATCAACAGGAACTTTTTTTCAACACTGGATTCACTGGAACCTTTGTTGCTGAGTATATATTTTGTATGTATACTAACCATAGTTGCTGAATGTATAAATGTTTCATAATTTTCCACCTGGCAATCCCCCCAAATCGTCTGACTAAGATATGGCTTCAATACGAGTGTTTAAAATGAAAACAAATGTGATGGGACTTGGTATCTCCCATGCTCTATTCTCTATTTCACACGCTGTTTTCAAGTTAACTGTGACGTCAAAAGTCATGATACTCCATGACTTACGTTTTAGGCTTGCTGTGATCTTAATAGATGTTTTCAACGATCACTATACTATTTTGGTCTACCATATCCAGTGGTTATCCCGAGACAGATCAACAATAAGTCCACGGTTATCGTTATCGTAGTGCAATTTACATTGATGTCGACGATATCTTAAATCCATGAGTTGTTTCAACACGATTCGGTGTTGGGTAGAATATATGCGAAAAGAAAAGATTCAAGTTATAGTTCATCAATGATCTTGTATTTTGCCTTTACAAATGGACGAGCATTCACTACCTGGTTGTTGCCTCCCTACACTGATGATCACGTGACACAAAATTGCTCGGTGTAAATGTAACCGATCACGTGACGCACGATACTCACGCGTGCAGATATATATAATTGTTAGGGTTTATTTTGAAGAAACAAAACTGGAATAAGACGTCCAATGCTTCCTCTGCACCTCACACGTAAAGTACATTATGCGCCATGTTCAGATGATATGTATGAACAACACAATGCACAGTACAATAAATCATGTCAAATTCAAATTCTATTTGCAATGCTCCATTTCATAACACATGCAAAGTACTCGTTCCCTGCTGAAATACATAGACTACAAACTTTACATAACACAGTTTAGACAGGACTTGTGACCATAGCTCTGTATATGTTTAACCTATGTTGAACTAAATATATAATTGACAAATAGACACTGATCTTTACTTAACTTCTAATATTTAGGAACATCGCCTTTTTAAGAATAGTGCTTGAACGTTGAATTAATTGTAAATGAAACAAATCTTCCTCCTACGTTTTAGTGGTATCTAAATCACAGTCAAACACAGAACAACAAATGCAAAAGCTGACGCTTGAGCTGAGAGAAAAGACATAAATTTAAGTAATAGACAAACTTTAACGGGGCCCTTTAAAGTGAGACCGACGGTAGGTGTTGATATATCTGTCTGTGAGTGGAGCCGACACTGAAACTAATTAACTGATACTGCCGTGTTCGTAAAACAGAACTTATGAATGCAATGTCTAAAAACTAGACAATCCTTTCCTCTTGTCTTTTAAAGGCTGTCATGCGATCAACAGTAATATTTAGTATGTTTGGTTAAACGGTACAGCTAATCAGTTATAGTGACAGAGAGATTAGAGTGTCATATGAGTGTGATGTCATGGTAACCAATGACGCCTCAGTGGTCTGCAAGATATCAAAAGCTGCAATTTCATTGTAGCCATATTTCCTAGGCAGATATCACCTGATCTCCACAGTGATTCGCTCTATGATAATATGAGAATGCAACTGTCACGGTCTCCATCTCATATATTTACCAAGTGATTCACTGTATCTAATGTAACTGTCACTCTCTCATCTCATACACATCATCCCTGGAGTGTTACTATTACTGAAGCTGACACTCTCACAAATAATTACTATTACCTCCAGTGATACACCATGTGGTAAAATAACTGTAAGCATTAAAATCACATACTTTCCCCAGTGTATTTTCAAATACCCCCAAAATCAGCCTAAATATCACGCGACTTGGTGAGGTGAGGTTAATGTCTTCCAACTTCTCAGCAGTCGCCATGTCTAACGAGAAGAAATCATAACATCAAGCTTTGGCTTCAGTGAGAGAGTGAGGGGCGTGGAGGGAAGAAAGATTCCGGGACATGTACGTGTTCAACTCTACTGTTCCCTTTACATAATGAAGTAGTAAGAATGGCAACACGGGAGATTTAATTGTATCTAATGGCCCGGTGTTGCCTGTCATTACTCGTGTAAGTAGAAGACTGTGTTCATTGTATCATCATTGTTCCTCACAGTGACTTGTAGTTTCAATGGCATACAAACAGATAACATTTTGCAGATAGTATGGCCCGATAAAGGTTTATAAACGTTACAGTTAATATTACTTGTGAGTGAGTGAGTGAGTGTTTTTTACGCCGCTTTTAGCAATATTCCAGCAATATCACGGCGGGGGACACCAGAAATGGGCTTCACACATTGTACCCATGTCAGGAATCGAACCCGGGTCTTCGGCGAACGCTTTAACCACTAGGCTACCCGACCGCCCCTCATATCACTAAAATATATTAATACTAACCTGAATGTGAAACAAACTTTTAACATTTGATACCCCTTTTCCTCACATTGTACATATCACCATTTGAATGTGAGTCTCACAATCATCACGTAACCCGCGGACATTCTAAGTTAAAATGGGTCCCCAGCAGCCTAAAAGGTTGTTTGAAAGAGGTGGGTAATTAGATGCCATCGTATCCCAATTGCGTAGATCGATGCTCATGATGTCAATCGCTGTATTGTCTGGTCCAGACGCGATTATTTATAAACCGACGTAATATTACTGGGCGCTGGGCGCCACGTTAAACGACAACGACAACAAACAAACAAAACAGCAGTGTAACTGCTTGGAGTTATGCAATATGACATGGCGAAATACCGATAAAGGGACATAACTCTGATAACCCTATGCCAATGGTTGCAGCACTGTAAACAATACACCTCCCACTTCGTATGAACTACACATTACACAGTACAATAAATAAATAAATTCTATTTGCAATGCTCCATTTTATAACACATGCAAAATTCTCGTTTCCTGCTGAAATACATTGACTACAGGCAGACAGACAAATTTATTCGGTACTTCAGGCCACCGGCCCATAATACAATGGAAATATACTGTATATATATTTGCATGCTGAGTAGATATAATAATGAGTTACCGTTCCACACTGTGTTTCCTTTCGATATTCATGACTTGGGAGAGAAATTTACCTAAGCCTTTTATAGTTTGTTCGTTTTCAGCTGACATCAGTCTTATAAAATTCTCAATAGAGGGAGGGGTAACGAGACGCTTGGGAAAAGAGTTTCTTCTTCCTCTAGAATACTGGTCACAAATCATAAGAACATGGAATTCATCTTCTACATGGTTATGTCCCTTTGAAAAACAGAAAGTGCAGACACGTTCATTGTATGGGATGTTGTTGTGAAGCCCCAGTTCGACAGCAAGTCTGAAATTATTACATCGGAACATGGCTATAAGTCTACGGTGGTAAGAAGACATATCACAAGTAATTTATGATTCCACATTTAGTAATGATTGACTACAAACTTTACATAACACGGTTTAGACCGGACTTGTGACTATAGCTCTGTATAAGTTTAACCTATGTTGAACTAAATACATAACTGACAAATAAACACTGATCTTTAATTAAGGAACATCGCCTTTTTAAGAATAACTAAATACGTGCTTCAACTGTAGATGACAATGTCACAAATGATTATTATTTCCGCCAGTGACCCCTTGGGTAGACAGTGACCTCCTGGTTGTGGTCACCTGTCACTGATGATCACGTGATACAAAGTTGCTATGCGAGGAGGAGGAGGTGTGTGATCACCTGACGCATGAAATCTGACGTTAACAGCTGGGATCTGTCAACAGTGTTGTCACCCATTGATACTGTATCTACATTGAATATATACATAGTTATACAACTAAACTTATCTATATGAGGTTATTTGGTGTTGTTTGGGGTGTGTCTGTGTGCTCACGTAACGTATGAAATCTGGCGTGCTAATCCAGTGCAAATTAGCATCATACTCTATAAGAACGTTACTTTCTCGATACGATGTATTTGTGACAATACACTCTGTAAGCAGTGGCAGTAGTGATGTCGGACATTATCGATCGAATACCTAGTTTACGATTTCGCAGCTAGGCCTGATTCCTAGTCAGCTTAATGTTGGAGGAAAGCCCGAAGTGATGCAGGTCTCAGTGAAACCCACGAGCAGGGGTATGGTGCTGACAAACCTAGAAACATAATCGGGGCGAACCGGGATTCGAACCCACAATCATAAGTTTCTGGCTCGCCCAAGGGACACAAATATGCAGAGCGAATCGGCGAATCGCGGCGCCTTAAACGACTGGGCCACCCGTGCCCCCAGAACCTGAATAAATGTGTATGTATATACAGGTGGTGCCATAACTTCATAATATGTTTGTGCTGCAAAGTTTAGAAAACCAAACCTGTCTGTATTGTCTTACGTGTCGACTGCAGATGGTCCGTTTCTTATTTGCTGGCTTCAGAGTGTCCCCTTTCGCCGTCGTTGAACTGCGAGTTCAAAGTTCTCTCTGATTTGTCGAGGAGATCTTACTTGTAACACTGTTGGAATGCGCAATTGTCTCGTTCGCCAAAACTCAGTCCGACAAACGGACTCAAGACAAAACGGCCCCAAACACTTGCAAAGACGGCCCAATATCATAACTGTATAACAATATTAAAATAAATGATGAATGAGTGAGTGAGCTGGGTTTAACTCGCTGACAACAACGAGCACGGGCACCTGGTGCTGACAAACCAAGAAACATAATCGAAACAAATCGAGATCCGAATCAACGATCATAGGTTTTTGGTGTGCCCAAGGGACGCAACTCTGTTCAGCGAATTACGGCTCCTTTGACAACTGGACCACTCGTTAATTTCCAACTAATATTTATTTAAAAGACTGAGGTTACAACAATTTCCCGCAACAATACTTTTACATCATCACGACGTTTAATTATAAAAATGTAACACAATTAGAGATAAACAGTACTTAAAGTTCAATATATGATTTACTGATTCCAGGATTGTATTCAGACCAATGTTTATAGTTAATTTAACATAGCTTCAAGCATAAATAACAGTTTCACCATTTGTGATTGTAATTTGGATCCTGTAATTAAAAGAGACTTTATGCTGTTAGTGGTACTACAACTTCATGCCCGAACATCGTGGAGGAAGATCTAGAGTGGATGTTAATATTATATTGCCAAATTTATAAACGATATAAAGCCATTGTATTGGGCAATTAACCGGCTATACCTACTCACTGACTGGCTATATATATTTATACTTTATTCAAAGGTAAATACTTTCACGGATTCAGAGCAGCTTACATACAGCAAGCCGTCATCATCCAGACAGATGCCACCAGGACAAAATAGATCATCCCGTGCTGTGAGAATATCTCTGACAAACTTTCCCGACTCTGTCAGCTGAATCACCTTGTTGGAGCCATTGTCTACAAGCAGGATGTCTCCTTTCTTGGGTGTTGTGATACCTCGAGGCCATGTCAGAGCTCTTATTCCTGTGGGAGTGTATGTGAAAACAGTTTTGCCATCCCTTGTCACAGATACCAATGACTTTACTTCTCCTTCACTTACTACCACATTGTTATTCCTCATGACATGAATATTTAATGGGTTCATTATAACACCTGTTTTGATGGATTTCAGAACATTCCCTTTCCTATCCAGTATGTCAACAGAGGCACGACTCTCAATACAACCTGCCAGAAGTTGTGAAGAGTTCAGGCAGGCTAACCCATAATATTCCGTCTTTGTTTTCACAGTTGACAGTAATGTAGGTTCTGGGTCAAACTTGATGAAAGCTATTTGTCGTGTGTCTGGCAGAGTAACAGCTGCCTGAGCTCCATCCAGCTTAGCTATTTGAATTAGAGCAGAAGGTAGCTGGAGACATTTTTTAAAGGATAGTTTGTTTGAAGTATAAAATACACTAAGTCTATCATAATCTAACACCACAGTTACCTTGATACCATCAACAGTCATTACTGAAACGTCACTCAAGTCACAGTCCGTGTATCCCTGTCTGCTACAGTCTAGTGTTTGCAGGAGAACAGGAGAAGACGTCCGGTCACTCAGGCCCTGAACAACCCTGACCTCCCCCAGCTGCACCTCAGCTACATATCTCAAGAGCTTGTCTGTGTCATGTGTGAAGATAATACTGGAAGTTATTGGTGTCTTGTCCTCACTTGTGTCTTCAATTCTGGATACATCCACAGACCCATACATACCATACATGTCTTCTACACAGTTTCCCTTTACGGCTTTGTTTGTGAACTCATGCCGCTGATGATGCAGCTGGAGGTCGATCTCCTGGGACTTTCTGAAGGCTTTCAGTTCTTCTACACGTTTTTCTGTTAGTTTGTCGATGCGCTCCAGCAATTCCTTTTCTTTTCTCAGAAGAACATCTGTAGCAGCCATGCATACTTTCTGAACTTGGTCTTTCATCACTTGTGCGTTCTTCGATAGCTTTTCAATTTCAGAGTTTGTTGATGAAATTACATCATTGTAAGATTTAATTTTATTCTTTTGCGTCCTAGTTTCATTGATCAGAGTTTCCTTTACAAGAGGCGTCATGACATCTATGGTTTCAACATCATCACACTTCCTATGTTTGATACTGCAGCATACAGTACAAATTGCCATCCTGCAATCTTTACAAAACAGTTTTACTTTTTCGTCTTTGTGAATTCGGCACATAAAGCTTGATGCCTTTGGTTTCCTGTTACTATGGGTACGTACATCGATCACTTCATGATCACGTAACAGGGGCATCTTCTTGTGCATCTTGAGACATCCATCACAGAAGACATCATCACAAATGGTGCAGTACATTGTTCCTGGAGTTGTCTCCCCATCTTCTTTGCACACGCTACAAGCCTCAAGATCTGAACAGAAAGTACGGAGTCTTACAAATAATGCAATTGCCAGAAAACATACTCACTTACTATTACTATTAGACATTCATTTTGTATATATACTATGTATAGTTGCAACATTATTCAATCCAACACTTATATAGAAAACTGCATTTTATATCAGTGACAGGACATTAAACCGTTTCATTATTTCCTACCTGGCGATGCCTCTAAAATGTCCATCACCCCTGTATTACTCGGCGTGGTTTCAGCTGGCTCATCCACTCCTCTACTGGACTGTCAGGGATGGTAACCTTCGTCAGTTGTCCACAGGGGGGACATGGGACGGACTTGGTTTGAATTGCTCCTCAGAGGCCTTACAGAATGTATGTGGTAGGATGGATCATTGAACATCTCTGCGGATAAAACACAGGTCAGGTGGTTGTCTGTTAACTTCTTAGCGGTGGCCATTTCTAATAAAAGACATCATATGATTAAGTTTTGGTTTCAATACGAGTTTGTTACATTAAACTTTGTTGATGAGAAAATAAACCCTTATTTATTCTCTTTTCTATGCTCTACTTAAGTATCTGTTAATTCTGACTTTTGATACTCAGGAACCACCATGTTTAAAGTTTTATGCTTACTGTGATCATACCAAAAGAACATCATATCATGTTGTCAACGTGTGACCTTACCTAAGTGAGTGACACCGTTCCTCGTCTGTATTTACAACCCAATCTAATTTGCATGCTGCTTAAGGCGTCTGTCTGTCTGTCTATCTATCTATCTGTCTTTCTGTGTGTTAAGTTATACTTGTGAATACATAAAAAAACACTGTTTTATTTTTGCCTCTTGCAGAACACAATACGTCAGTTACAATCTGTCAGTGTATTTTGTGCAATATATCATTGCCTCTTGCTGTCATTGGTACTAAATAATTGTGTTGCTGAAATGCTGGATTTAACATATTATCAACTGAAAGATAGCATCTGATTACATTTTCGCAGAACATTTTCAGACATGCTTATACGTAGAGCATTTTACATTTAAATACATATACGAGTTCTTGTGTCCTATGTGATGGTATGTGGAACAAATAAAGGGACATAACTCTAATATTGATATTCTTAGTCCGCGACCCCAGTAATAACACTATATGCACCCACACTGCATACATTGTATCTCTGTTAAAGTGGTTTTAGGGTACACAACAATGCCACACATGCAACAATGTTGTTAATATGTTTTGAAAAAACCTGACAAACGTCCAGGCAAAAGAAAATTTACACATGAAAAACAATGGATTATCAGAATTTTAATAGGCTGAAAACAGACGACTCAACACTGCAAACGTAAGGTCGAAAACACAACTGTGACACCCGTATCAAACAAATCACCATCGAATAATTCTTTCTTGTTTGTTTCCCGTTTAGCCGTCATCAAACATTAGTGCATGCTTGCCCTGCAGTTTAATACATTTCACATGTCACACTTACTTCAACATTCAAGTCACGGTTTACGAAGTGCAATTTGCCTTGATGTGGACTATATCTCAAATCTATGAAATTCTCAACACGATTCATTGTAGGGTAGATTGAATGCGAAATAACAAATATTTAAGATATTTTTCGACAGTGATCTCGCGTTTGACCTTTACAGATACGGCAACATGGATGAGCACACGGGGTATACAGGGACTCACTTCCTGGTTGAGCCCACCCACACTGATCATGATCACGCAACACGGAGTTTCTAAAGGGGAAGAGGTATGTGATCACGTGACACATGTAACCTGACGTTATCAGTTAAGACCTGTCAATAGCGTTGTCAAACTACGGTAGATTATCTATATTGAAATTCCACAGAGATTTATTGCTGTAACCTCGTCACGATATGGCTGAAATATTGCCGATGTGACGTTAAACTTTAACTCACTCACTCACTATTGTAACCTGTAATTGAAATGTATGTCAAACAAGTGACAAAATAAACATAAATCTTTAATGAACATCTCCGCCTTAGGAACAACTAAACGGTAGACAATGCACAGATGCTAAAATGTTAAATGTAGGAGTGTAAACGACAGTTAAACATAGGACAATAAATGCGAAGTTGACACAAATGATGTCATGTGAGCCCAGATAGACAGTAAAACAAAAATATAAAATGGTAGATACTTTAATAGGGGTCCTTTAAAGTAAAACAGACGAAAGGTGTAGATTATGTGGATGATCCAGAGGAAGGGGTTGGTTGGAAGGGGTTGGGATGGGGTGGTCTGGGGGTGGCCAAACTGCATACAAATGGATTATTATTTGATTTTGTTGTTGTTGCTATGATATAGCCGCAATATCTTTATTGTAAACCCCATAACTCACTCACTCACTCACTAGAGTTTCTTGGGGCACGGGTGGCCCAGTCGTCTAAGGCGCCGCGATTCGCTGTGCGAGTTGCGTCCCTTGGGCACGCCAGAAACCTATGATTGTGGGTTCGAATACCGGTTCGTCCCGATTATGTTTCTAGTTTTGTCAGCACCATACCCGTGCTCGTGGGTTTCACCGAAGTGGTAAACGTCTGAGACCTGCATCACTTCGGGCTTTCCTCCCACATTAAGCTGACACGCCGCAATATAACTGTAATACTGTTAAAAGTGGCGTTAAACCAAACTCATTCACTCACTCACTCACTCACTCACTCACTCGAGTTTCTCTGTCAACAGATGTAAATGGTAGAGTGATCAGCATCTCGCGATACAGGAAATGAGTACTGAGGCACCAGCACTTGTAAGGCACCATTAGTAGGAACTTGACATCTGCCGATATACCACTTTGTTGACAAGAGGATACAGTAAAATTATTAATTTAATTTCTAAAAAGATAGACCGGATACTTGAACAACTTCCACTCGTGTTCAAGCACATGATGCATAAACCTGATCACCAATTATAAATGTGTAAACAAACTGTTTTCAGGGAATATCTTAAAGGAAGTACATAGTGTAACATCAACCTAGCAATATATCGATCCCGAAGAGACGCAAATGCCGAGAGATATTGGTATGGCGAATATGGTCGCTTCACAGGGCCAACATCCGATGACGGTGTCAGGTACAACAATGCACCGGTACAACCAGGGAGGACACACCAGGGACAGGCCAAGGATCGGTAGACCATGTGTCATGATCCCCCGAGATGACCGCTATCTGTGACCTTTGTATCTTCGCAACCGTTTCCTGACGGTGAGTTTTAGGCCGCAGCATCAGCCAATACACTGTGACAAGAAGACAGCGTGCTGCTGGGATTCGGGCCTACCTTACGGTGGCATGACCCCGACCCAGTCGATGGCAGCGACGTGATTTGCAGAGGATGCTCGTCAATGATGAGTTAGATCCACCTGTTCAATGCAGATGGAAGAATCCGGGCGTACCGTCGAAGAGGAGAGAGATCAGCTACAGGATGCGTCCAGGAGGAAGTCCTTTAGTAGGGGAAGCATTATGGTCTGGGGAGATATGCAGTGATATGAAAACATTGTTATCCATGGAAACTTAAATGCCCAGAGCTACAGGGATGAAATCCTTCAACCTGTTCTCACCCCCCTTCTCCGCCAGCAGTTTCAGGGTGTTTGTTCCAGCAATATCATGCTAAGACCATACTGCCCTTCTGACGCAAGATTCCTGGTAATCACGATCTTGGATCCTGACCGGTTTTGCCTTGGCCAGCCCACTCGCCGGATCCATCGACAATTGAACACCTCTTGGACCCCTTTGACAGGCAGGTCAGAGAATAGCTCCAGCATCCCACAGCTCTGATTGAGCTTGAACGAGTCCCAGTGGTAAATAGAAGCCAGATCCAAAATGACAAATGTCAGCAATGAGACGGTGGATGTTTGCCTATCCACTCTTGGATTAATGAACTCGCTAGATTAGTTCACATGTAAATTCACTTTATGACCCCTCAGTTGTTTACATGCCTTGGACGTTTCTGTATGTAACGTCATCTTGGTTGTTTTCTTTATCGCGTTCTCACACAATATTTAGATTATTGTTCATATATTGTACATTGTTACCATAAGTGTTTTGCTTCATTTTCTTGCCATTTTAGATGATACTTGGTTTCTTTTGTTCGTCATTTTATATATGTAGTGGTTCCCGGGTTTGATCCCCCAAATTGGTACACTGTGTTTAGCCCATTTCTGTTGTCCCTACCCGTGACATTGCTGGAATATTGCTAAAAACGCCGAAAAACCACACTCACTCTTTGATAACAGAGATACATTAAATGGAAGGGATCAATGAACTTTTCTTGAAAAATAAATTCCCCAATATATACCGTTTTGTTAATTAAATCTGGCCAAGAATCGGCCTTCAATATATTATAATTTCATACTTTGAAGTTTACACTGTTTCTTTCATGCTGACTGGCTGAAGGGGTAGTCACGTGATCTGATATTTGGAGTTCACACATCTGTGAAAGGACAAAAAAAAGTTCACACGATGTGAACATTTTTGTGTGAAATTGATCGTGTGAACTTTTGCCGGAACTACGAGGGCCATTCAATATATAACCAGCCTAAGCTATTTAGCAGATCTTAACGGTTGCATGTTTGTCACGTGCTGTCCACCAATGTATGTCACGTGCATAGACAATGTTTCACTGAGGAAATTGTATTTGAAGTCACACACGTGATCTATAAAGATGGCAAGGGTAGATTCTGCCAAATTTTCGTCAAAGGTTGAATACAGGGCTGTTATTAGGTGCCTCTACTTAAAAGGGAAACCGGGAAAGGAGATACATGATGAATTGTCAGATGTTTATGGTGACGGTGCACCTTCGTATGCACAGGTCAAATTCTGGGTTGCAGACTTTAAGAGGAGTCGGGTGAACCTGGAAGATGAGCCACGCCCTGGCAGGCCTGTAGAGGTGACCAATGACCAAACCAGTGAAGCTGTGAGACAACTGGTTGTCAAAGACAGGCGAATGAAGGGGTCAGAAATGGCCAAGGCCTTGGACATTTCAGAGGGAAGTGTCCATACCATTTTGCATGATCGTCTGGGTATGAGGAAGCTGTCTGCCCGATGGGTCCCGAAATGTCTGAGTGATGATCAGAAGGATGTACGTGCGTCAATGTGTCAGGCACTTTTGACGCAATACAGTCGGGATGCAGACAACTTTATGGAGAGAATTGTTACTGGTGATGAAACCTGGGTACACCACTATGACCCAGAAACCAAAGAACAGAGTAAGCAGTGGACTGGCTTTGCTTCACCCCGTCCCTTTTGGGATACCAAAGGGGTCTTGCTCATTGACTACTTGCCACGTGGCCAGACTATTACTGGAGAGTACTACTCCGATCTCCTGGGCCGTTTGCGGACTGTTATTCTTGCCAAACGTCGTGGAAAGATCACAAAAGGTGTGCTGCTCCAACATGATAATGCCAGAGTGCACACCTGTCGACTTGCGGTTGCCGCAGTGAAGCGGAACGGGTTCAAAGTATTGCCTCATCCACCTTACTAACCAGACCTGGCACCAAGCGACTACTTTCTCTTCCCAAACTTGAAGAAAGAACTGCGTGGACGTCATTTCCGGTCCGTGGATGAACTCACGACAGCAGTGGAGGGGTGGTTACACGAACAACCCCATGGTTTCTATCACAACGGGCTTTTAGCTCTCACACATCGCTGGACAAAGTGCATAGACCTCAATGGTGATTATGTGGGAAAAGAAGAAGTGAGGAGCAGTAGCAAACAGGTTAGGCTGGTTATATATTGAATGGCCCTCGTTCTTTCCGGGGGGTTCCCCGAATTCTCGTTCGGTGTTTACGATCAACTCGTTTTTCTATTTTCTTTTTAATACCTGCATTTATCAGCAATATAATTAATTTAGGATTTTTGCCTGGTCTTGTAACATTTTTATTTGACTTATAAATAAATAAATGCTTTGGTTCTGGTGATTGATGTCGTCTAGCTGCTTGATGAAACAAAATGGATTGTCCTTGCGATGATTTGGATATGGAATGGCTATCTTTCAATACTAATTACACAAGTGAAGAACATTAATTCTGTAAAATTACTGAGGTGAACGAAATTCATTTATTGAGCGATATTGACTTTGATGCCTTGTTTTCGGAAATGGCAGAAATCTAGCACAAATGAAAACAATGTCGTTCCTGCTCAGATGTGGCCGCTGACACAGAGCAAACGCGAGTGCTCCTGATCAATCCCAAACTAAAATCCGATTTACTATCGTATCGCGGAAAAAGAACTAAGATTTTGAGAAACCATAAAATAAAAAAAGGCAAGGAAAGGAACTCAAATTTAAAAAAACCCAAAAACTTGCCTACCTGTTTTATCGATTGGTCATCGGAGACGAGAAAATATCCGTAGATGGAATTAGAAATCTACTATTCCGGTTTCGGAGTTGTCCGACCTTCTCCGTGCATTCTAGGCCGAGAAGCGGCGGCACATGAGGAGTGACGGGGCACAGTAATGAAGCTGGCATCAGGTCATACAGTAGGTCCATCTCAGGTGACAAGAAACACCAGCTAAGCAAAGTGTTACATCACACACGACAAATCCCAAACTCCAAATATAACACACCCTGACGTTGAATTTTAACACAAAACACACGTTTCAGAGCACTCGGTTCAATCCCCACCAGTCCATTCCGCATCGTCCGAATCGGTTTGCGATTACCCAAACACAAGTCACACATTCATAAATCGGGGATATTGCCAATTTGCTCGTGCCATGAGAGGGTTCACGGGTCGCGGTGTTTTCCATAACTGCTCCATAAACGTCATTTTCAACAGAAGCAAGTATAAATTTCATCCTCATGTTCCCTTTCGACTCAAAATGCACCTCTTTACAAACTTATGTGACGTCATATATAATCCGGGCTTGAAGGTTGACCTCGTCTCGGTGCATCGAGGTCATGTTTATATTTTTGTTCAACTTCCTGTAACCTATTTTTAAGATTTTATTTATCCCAAATATTGTTTGTAAATTTGTTCAGAGAATGAAATTATGTTGACATATTTCTAGATTATGACAACGGTTTCTACCTAGTATGACGCCTTACTTTGACGTTAGGGGCGGTCGGGTAGCCAAGTGGTTATAGCGTTCGCTCGCCACGCCGAAGACCCGGGTTCGATTCCCGACATGGGTACAATGTGTGAAGCCCATTTCTGGTGTCCCCCGCCGTGATATTGCTGGAATATTGCTAAAAGCGGCGTAAAACTATGCTCACACACTCACTACTTTGACATTATGTAAACGGGTGCAAATTTCAAATAATAAAGATGGATTGTAAAACGAAATCGGTTTTATCGTGACCATGTGTATATTGGCCAGAGAGGTTATGACATTTTCTGTTACAATATGCAAACTAGTATTCAAGGTTAATACCCACATGATACCAAAAGAATCAAAGCCAATTATTTGTTTCCAGAATGACAAGGAACAAATAAATTCAGCGATCAAGGTAAACGTCCATTATACTCCTTCAGCACATAGTTTCTCCCCACACAATATTCCTGTGTATGTATCCGACATGAATGAAGACGCTACACCTTAAGCAGCGACGTCTGGTGTCAGCTGTTACATATCAAAGTAGTGTGTAGAAATAGACATAGCGTTTAACGTATCATTTGTAAACACTTCATTAACCCTTTGTATATAAAAGCGACAAAATCAATTCATACTCATAATGATCAGTCCACGGTTCGGAAACACTTTCGACCGCCTCCGTGGTCTAGTAGTAGAGTGTCCGCCCGGAGAGAGGAAGGTTCGGGGTACGACCTCCGGATGTGTCATCCCCAAAGACGTCAAAAGATGGTACTTCTTGTTGCCCTGCCTGGCGCTCTACATTGAGAGGCCACAATAAGGACTGGTTGGCTCGGAGTCAGTATACTGTGTCTGAGTGGGGCATTCATTTGAACCTATAAACTCGGCGTGAATTCAGACTAGTACAAGCACACAGAGAGAGACAGAGAGAGAGGGGGGGAGAGAGAGAGAGAGAGAAAGAGAGAGAGAGAGAGAGAGAGTTGCATGCTCGTCGCTATTTAAGTGCAATAATCTTGAACTCGACGTTGAACCCCATTTCACCTGACCGCAACTCATAAACACTTTCACACTGATTGACACTGATACTGACATGTCAGCTGTTAATGCACAGACGTTGAATTAATACTGACTAGACAAACACAGTGCCGATATGGTTACCCAATTTCACCTCACCTCGTGCTTTCTCCGGCATCAAACTGATTCACCATGATATAACTGACATAATGTTCAAAGAGGCGTTAAAATCAATTCACTCACTAACTCTGTTCCTCAACTGGACAGTAATCTCTGCCACTACTGATGACAGATAATGTATACATTTGAAGATGCTTATTGCATTTTTTATTGAATTGATTTTCATATTTCGTCCAATGACCACCACAAACGACGTCTTCCTGTTTGCAGTGGTAGTTAGTAACCACACGGGAATAGATCAAGTGTTACCTGAGTAAACTGAACACATGAAAAGGACAAATACGTGCATGTTGTTAATCAAATGCAGAAATATATCTTTCTGAGTCCACCTAAATAAACACAGGCGTCGCAATAAATTTATAAACTTATATCTCAGACATTTTAAATAACAAGGAAAGACAGGATTGAAAAAAAAACATTAAACATTTTAAATTAGGTATAAATGGTTTGTTTATTTACAAGTAGTTCCATCATACTCACATGTCTCTGAATTGATTGATTAATTGTCATTAAGACCGAAAGTTACAAATGCAAACAACAAAGTTCATGTATTCCAAGTCATGGCCATGTCATTCGAAATTCATGTAAATGTTGATAAATTTCTATTTGAACTATAAGCACTGGCATTAAAGGTAATTTCTGACAACTTATAGTGGGAGCGATACATGCAGAAGCCATCTGAACTGACGAGCAATAGAAACCTAGTATATACTTCTACATGTTTTTTTGGTGTTAGATATAATTTGATTTAAAACTTTTAAAATAAAATTAAAAATTGAAAAATGTAATCGCATAATACACAAGAGGTTATGAGTATCTCGGACATCTCATCTTTGAAAAACAATAAATTTGTTTACAACATTTCAAACATGATAGGGGCCATGTTGCTGCAAATTCATTTCTTGCGTCAGTCTTCACTGAATTTGTTTACACACATTTACCCAGCAACAGATGACGTTTTACACACTTTTGAAGGAATGAGTGATGGCTGAAGAGAAATGCTCAAACTTAACAACAGTTCTTTACATTTTCAATTACAAAAAAACCCGATCGGTATACCTTCCTTTGTCCCTCTGATTATTATTCATCCCAGCTAAGCGTACACCAAAGTTATTTCACTTTATGTTGCGCAATGTCTATACGTAAAGTATTTCCGTTTATAATCAATTAACTGGGCTTTTGACAGATAATCAATGCGAATAATGTTATACACCCTTAATTCATTCTATAAAATAAGGTGATAAATCGAGACATAATGTTATTAATAATCACAGTGGATGAATATTTACCTCTTGGATTCTACGACGAGTGACGAAACGTTCAACTCTAAAGAATCAGGGTAGAGCTGTTCTTGACCGCGATCGAGACATTTTGCCATTCGATCCCCCTTTTGTAATCTTTCCTGATAAACAAGGGAACACGATACTGCCCCTCATTCTGTTTTTAGTAATAAACGCAATAGTGTTTCCTGTGTAGTGTATGTAATGACTTTATACTCACGCTCTTGGACATACATATATGTTTATCATGCAAGATTAAAAGACAACCCACTTTTCCGAGATCACAGTGTAAATATATTAACTATTCATCTCTGTAATAAAGTATACCGCGTTGACGCTTTTTGCTCTCAATTCTACAAAATAACATATTTTCCGCCATCATTACAACCATTTCACCTCTTTCATGTGTGATTTTATCTTCCAAATGCGAACCACTGGACTGATTGAATAACTATCGCAGGAGTAAGGTGAGGTGAAATTGGGTTTGGTGAGTGAGTGAGTATGGTTTTATGCCGTTTTTAGCAATATTCCAGCAATATCACGGCGGGGGTCACCCGAAATGGGCTTCACACATTGTACCCATGTCGGGAATCGAACCCGGGTCTTCGGCGTGACGAGCGAACGCTTTAACGCTTTAACCACTAGGCTACCCGACCGCCTGGGTTTAACGTCGCGTCCAAGATTATTGCAATAAAGCGACGTGCCTGCACGTATGTGTGTGTCTGTTTTACTAGTCTGGACTGATACCGATTTATAGTGATAGCTCGCTGAGATACCATGCCGCAGTTTAACATGAAGACTCCACACACACACAGTATACTGACTCAGAGCCGATCAGTCCTTGTTGTATATTTAGCCCCTTAATGTCGAGCGCCAGACATGGTAACAAGAAGTACTATCTTTTGACGTCGTTTGGTAAAACGCGGCCGGGGATCGAACCCCGGACCTTCCGCTCTCCGAGCGGACAATCTACCACTAGACCACGGATGCGGTCCTATCGCAGGAGTCATATGTAGGGATCGGGTGAAGCGATGTTGAAAAAATCAGCTGCAAGTGTACCTGTCCATCACTCACAGTGTGTTCTCAACCCATCTAAACGCACGTCAAACACAACAGTCGTTGTCCCCAAAAGTAATTCGCTCCAATGTCCGGTTCATTCAGCACAGTTTTACAAGCAGTTTGGCTATTTGCAATCAATTAGGTCTTGTATACAGCGTATGTGTGGCTCACAGCTAGCTTCTACATGGCAGAGTAATGTCTATCTATTTCAGTCAATCCTTCACAAAGGCGAATACTTTCACATGGTAATCGCTGGTAACGTAAAGCAAGCCATCATCATCCAGACAGATACCAAGAGTACACTCAAGGCGATCATGTTGTGTGAGAACATCTCTGACAAACTGCCCCGACTCTGTCAACTGAATCACCCTTTTGGTGTCCCTGTCTACAAGCAGGATGTCTCCTGTGCTGCTTGTTGTGACCCCCCAAGGAGATTTCAGAGCTTTGTCTCCTGAAGGGGTGTAGGTGAAAACAACTTCACCATCACAGGTCGCAGATACCAGGGATTTTACTGCAGGATCACTGAATATCAAGTTGTTATTTCTCGTGACATGAATATAGGATGGGTTCTTTATCACACCTGTGTTGATAGATTTAAGAACATTCCCTTTCATATCCAGCACGTCAACAGAGGCACGACTGCCGATACCACCTGCTACCAGTTGTGAAGAGTTCAGACAGGCTAACCCATAATACTTCCTCTTTGTCTTCACAGTTGACACTTGTGTGGGCTCAGTGTTAAAGCTGATGAAAGCTATTTGTTTTGTGTCTGGCAGAGTAACAGCTACCCGAGCTCCACCAACCTTAGCTACTTGCTTTGGACCAGTGGGAAGATCGAGACATTTCTCGATGAGTCTTTTGTTTGAAGTATAATATGCACGAAGTCTCCTATAAAAACTGTCTATCACAACAGTTACCTTAATACCATCAACAACTAATACTGCAACATCAAACAAAACCTTTGAAAAAGGCTGAATGCCCCCCTGTCTGCCATAGTCTATTGTTTTCAGGAGAACAGGAGAAGACGTCCGGTCACACAGACCTCCAACAACCTTGACCTCCCCCAGCTGCACCTCATCCACATATCTCCTCAGTTTATCTGTGTCATGTGTGAAGAAAATGGTGGATGGTATTGGTCTCTTGTCCTCACTTGTGTCCTCATCTCTGGATGCTACAGCCACAGACTCATATATATCATACATGTCTGCTACACAGTGTGACGTCACGGCTTTGTCTATGAACTCATACCGCTGCTGGTGCATCTGGAGCTCAATCTCCTGGAACTTTCTGTAGGCTTTCCATTCTTCAATACGTATCTCAGTGAGTTGGTCGATACGATCCAGCAGTTTCTTTTCTTTTTTCAGAAGAACGTCTACAGCTGCCATACGTACTTTCTGAACTTCGTCTTTCATCTCCCGTGCGTTCGTCGATAGCCTTTCAATTTTCGAATTTGTTGAAGAAATATTATCAGTGTAAGTGTCAATTTTTTTCTCTTGGTTTCTAGTTTCAGTTATCAGTCTTTCTTTTACAAGAGGCGTTATTGTATCTATGGTTTCAACATCATCACACTTCCTGTGTTTGATACTGCAGCATACAGTACAAATTGCCATCCTGCAATCTTTACAAAACAGTTTTATCTTCTCATCCTTGTGAATTCTGCACATAAAGCTTGATGCCATTGGTTTCTCGTTTCTATGGATACGTAAGTCAATCACTTTATGGTCACGTAACCGTGGCATCTTCTTGTGTAACTGGAGACACCCATCACAGAAGACCTCGTCACAAATGGTGCACCACATTGTACCTGGAGTTGTCTCCCCATCTTCTTTGCACACGCTACAGGTATCTAAACATAAAGCACAGCGTGTTACAAATAATGCAATATCTAGAAAACACACTCACATACTACAACTTTTAATACATACTGTATGTTTACGGGCCATAGTTGTTAGGTGTATAAAAGTCAATATAAACCAGCTCACTTCGAACTCAATCCTTCTCACTTTAATAAATATAAAAACTGCATTTCCAATACCTTGGGGTGCAAGACATGAAAACGTTTCAAAATTCCCTACCTGACGATTCCCCCAAATCGTCCATCAGACTCTGTATAATGTGGTTTGGTTTCAGCTGTCTGACCCACTCCTCTACTGGTCTAGCAGGGTTGGCCACCTTCGTCAGCTGTCTACAGGAGGGACATGGAATAGACTTGGCTTGAATTGCTTTAGGCTGTGTTTTGGTGTATTTCAGCAAACAGGACCTACAGAATGCGTGATTACACTGAAGTGTGGCAGGGTCTGTGAACACTTCTGTACAGATGACACAGGTCAGATGGTTGTCCGTCAATTTCTTTGCGGTGGCCATTTCTGATGGAAAGAAATAGTCCGACTTAGCTATGTCTTCAGTACGAGTTTCATGGTGCTAAGTATCTCCAATGATCTATTCTTGCAGTGATCATAATAAAACACACACAAAAAACACACACACATACATGCATAATTACACACACACACACACACACACACACACACACACACACACACACACACACACACACACACACGTACATACTCTCATACACACACCCACATACATACATACATACATACATACATACATACATACATACATTCATACATACATACATACATACATACATACATACATACATACATACATACATACACACACAGACACACACATATTGATAAAGGGACATAACTCTGATATTCATATACAAATTGGCGACGCTTGTATAAACACAGCCACCACTGCTTAAATCTGTTCACACTTGGATTCTAGAAACAAACACGTGCGATATATGGTTACGTCGTTTTGAAGAGACCTAACAGTACATTCAACATCTGTTAACATGTTACACTTATTTCAACCTGCAAGTCAGGCTACTTTCGTTATTGAACTTCAATTTACCATGATGTCGACTATATTTCAAATATATGGGTGGTTACTAACACGAGCCTGTGTGCAATGAATCCGAAATCAACATATTCCAGTTACATTTTAACAGACATCTATCGTGTTATCTTCACAGATACGCAACTTGGACGAGCACCCGGGGTAGACTGTTTTTCACTTCCTGGTCGTTGCCTCAGCCACACTGATGATCACGTGATATGTTCAAGCCATCGGGGAGAATGTATGTGAACACGTTACACGCGATACCCGTAAACTGTGATACGGTTTCTCAGATCTATTGTGAGCTGTCAGCAGATATATCATGTTGTGAGTGTTTATTGTGACGAAACATTTTGGAATAACAAATACAATGCTCCCAATACAATGTCATATGTGAAGTACTGTGCGCCATGTTCAAATACTATAATATATAAAATACACAGTACAATCAATCATGAATCATTCAAATTATATTTGCAATGAATCATTTTATAAATATTTGTTTTCTGTTGAAATAAACAGAATAAACAAGCTGTTGCGTTGTTCTTAGCAGAGAAAATGTCAATTCTAACAACAAGAAAACTGTAGAAATTATACCTTCTTATAATGCGCGCTCCAAGTCAGAAGACATTTGTCATAATGCACATGGGATCACAAATACAAACAAGATTTTGGCAATGATCTGGTATAATAGAGGTAAAAACTCCAACCTGCCACTCTGTTTGATCCCCTGTTTCAAGTGTATTAACCTGATCAGCAGCAAAGGTGAAATTAGTCTTGTTTGCAGATAGTGCACTTTCCCGTGTTCTCGTCTTTTCTGAGAGCTTCGAATTCTTTTCCAAACAAGGGGGCACGCGCTTTTCTGGTCTCTTTATTCACAACGTCCACTAGACTGTCAAAATGCACACCTGTCTCCCTCTCCCCAAAGGTCTGTATAAGACCCCTGAACTTCTGATATTGACTGGGAGGGTAGTTTTCCAACTATTCTGTTAATATTCTCAGAGAAGTTCTCTAACTTAAGGCATTCTTTGTATAGCATTCCGACATTCACACAGGAAAATTGAGAAATCATCACGTGCCAACTCACACTGAAACATATGTCTTCATAGTCACCTTTCGATTGCATAAATACTTCATTTGTGAATGGCCAGACTCTGTGTGCACTTTCTACCTAAGTGTAATCATCTTCACCACACAGAGAATCTGTATGTTCTTCTACCAGCTTGAACTACAACCATGTACATGTATATTGTCTTCTTTCGAATCCGTGCCGTACTGAAGGCCTTTCTCTGCCCCCTTTCTAATCCTAGCCTCTGCTCTACCATCAGTACTCGTGAAATCATCATCATCTCTCTTAGGTTTTCTTTCATCATTACTCATGTTTGTATACAATTGCTATATTTGTTCTTCTTAGCAGATAAAATAGCCAGCTCCATCAACATGCAAACTGTAGACTGTAATTGTATCTTCTCATCATACCCTAAATCATCATACATTTGTCATTATGCACATGAGATCAAAGTTCAGTTCAGAGTCTATGTTGCAGTTGTAAGAGTCATACTTGTTATAGATTGACTGCAGTACATTATATTATGATGTAATACTATCACAATATTAATATATTAAACTTCACCAAAAATATACATTTTTTGACAAAGCCTACCTTTGTTAGATACAATCGACCTGAAACATGTCAGTCAACTCACATAACTAAGATTTCGATTAAATAACCTTTAATTGTTAAGTAAATAAGTTTGAAAAGCCCTCACAAAGAACGTGTTGAGACATCTGCTTTTAGACCTCGCGCAAAGCGAGCGAGTTTTGAATGCATCAAACAGCTGAATAAGCCATGTAAAATACAGACTAAATACTAAGATACATATTACATACTTCACAACCCCAATATAAACACCAGCACCACTGCAGACACTGTTCACATGCGGATTTAAGGCGTCACTAGCACGTGAGATGTTCAACAGTATCGTTACGATGTTTTCCAAAGAGAAACTTGTACATTTCACACAGCACACTATTTTCAACATTCACACTTATTTCAACATTTACATGTATTTCAACAAAGCCACGACTTGAACATGAAGTACAACTGACGTCATGTCGACTATCATTTCAATCTCGCAAATCTATGAGTGTTTTTTTCAAGAATGATTCGGTGTTTGGAAGAATGATTACGAAAACAAAAGATTCAGGTTATTTTTCAACAGAGAATTAGCGTTTTACCTTTAGATACTGCTTCATGCACGACCACCGGGGTCAAACAACGTCTGTCTGCCTGGTTGACGCCTCCCACACTGATGATCACGTGACACGATATTCAGATAAGCTGTGAGATGTCATCAGACACATTAGCAATGTCCCGTTTTTTACCACCAGATATTCATTTCCTGCTGAAATATATAGACTACTGTACAACTTTGAAAGGACTTGTGACCAAACATCTGCAACTCAAACATGTGTCAAAGAACACAATAATTGGCAAACAAACATTTATCTTTAAAAACTTCTCATATGAACACAACACGCGCGCGCTTCCCTGAAAACTACCTTTTCAGTTATAAGTGTTAATTTAGACGACTGTTAATTTTAACCATATACTTCGATATATGTCTTTGGAATAACGTTATGGTAAAAATATCTGAACATGAAAAATACAAATTGAACTTGAAATACAATTGTGCCAATAATCACAAATAATAAATGGGATATTTCTTAACGTTCACACGTTTCTTAAGTCAGATGGTTGTCTGTTAACTTCTTAGTGGTGTCCATTTGTGATGGCAAGTCGTCTGATTAAATTATGGGTTCAATACGATATTCTCCAAAGGAACCTTTATTCGGACATGGTATGCCGATGATCTATTTCTGTTACTTTTAATGTAAAGGATCTGTTAACTGTAACTCTGACAGTCATACTATTCCATATTCCATTCCATATGTGAGCATAATAAAAGACCATATTATGTTGACCACAATTACCATTACTGTTTTAATGCCCCATATTCCAGTTGGTATTTCGGGGCAGATCAAGAATACAATGTAGTTCCCCACAAACAAGTGCTTATCGCAAGACCCGACTTAAGTGTGGAATGGTCTGTCAACACCTCTGCACAGATAACAAAAATCAGGTGGTTATAACAACAACTACTACTTGTACTACTACTACTAGTGCTACTACTACTACTACTACTACTACTACTACAACTACTACTACTACTACTACTACTACTACTACTGACCGCCTCCGTGGTCTTGTGGTAGAGCGTCCGCCCGGAGAGCGGAAGGTCCAGGGTTCGATCCCGGGCCGCGTCATACAAAAAGACGTTAAAAGATTGTACTTGTTGTTACCCTGTCTGGCGCTCGGCATTAAGGGGCTAAAACAAGGACTGGTCGGCTCGGAGTCAGTATACTGTGTCTGAGTGGGGTATTCATGTTAAACTGCGGCATGGTATCTCAGTGAGCTAGCACTATAAATCGGCATCAGTCCGGACTAGTACAAGCAGCCACACACACACATACACGTGCATGCACGTCGCTATATAAGTGCAATAATCTTGGACGCGACGTTAAACCCTATTTCACCTCACCTCACTTCTACTACTACTACTACTACTACTACTACTACTACTACTACTACTACTACTACAACTTATAATAATAATAATAATATAATTATTATTATTACTATTATTATAACAGTCAGTTTACTTGGGGAAGGAGTTATTGACCATCTCGTGGAAGGTGAGGCCTATACGTAGTTAGGGATGCAGATTAGGGACAAACTCCAGAATGCCCATGTCAAGGGAAAACTTCGGGCAGAGTACAAATGCAGACTGCTGTGCCCGTCCTTTCGTATTCTTTTGGTGTTGTTGATTGGACGAAACAAGGAATTCAGGGTATTGAGGTCCACCCATGGTACGATCCGGAATATGTAGAGGGCGTCATGGAAAATGATAAATACAAAATTCTTTGGAATATGCCTGTATATAGCCTCAGACGTATCCAGGCCAACAAAAAACCTGATCTTGTCTTTTTTTTAATAAATCCAATGAAATCATTTATATCTTTGAATTTTCTGTCCCCTTTGACACTAATGTGATTGACAAGATTGAGGAAAAACATGGCAAATATGCTTTCGAAATGTCACGCTTCCCAAGTACCATGTTGTCCGACTCCCCATTGTTCTCGGTGAGTTAGGTTTGGTACCTCCCAATCTGTTGACTGACATTGGGAGAGTGCACGGATTCGCTACCAGGAATACAACCCTTCTGATAATCTGGGTAATGCAGAAGGCTGCAGTGTTGGGGAGTCTTCCTGGGAGAAGTCCCATTCGCTGTCTGGGCTGCGTGTAGAGGGGGCAAGGGCCCTGAGCTGATGTTGAGCCTAACCAGTCTGACTGTGCCAACATCACCCAAAAACTTTTGGCTGCATTTTTTATTTTAATCTGTAAATAAAAATAACAATAACAATGAAATTTTTACAGCACTGAAACTCATAGAACTTAGATATATGCTCAAAGCGCTAGCAGCATGTATATATACATAGATACAAGAGTCTGTATAAATGTTACTGATAAGCAGTCGGCATTTTTTATGGATAAAAATAGTTAGATTGTGTACAGGTTTCGTCATGTTGCCTCTGTGCATAACAACAAGACATGAAGAGAGATCAGTTATCATTCATATCACAATGTAGGTATTGTCGCACTAAATCAAATAAGGGCATTGTCATCAAAATTTCATCCAAACGAGTCGTCAGGCTACAACCCCCAATTCCTTTTCACCAGATGGCCTATACCACAGCTAAAACAGCTTGTTTATATGACCAATATATCAGTTGATGTTATTTAAAATTATACACTTATATAAATACTATACATGTTTTAAACGCCAGTGTTGATGTTGAAGAGAGACCATGGGAGTATCGCCCAGGAACTAACTCCATCCTCACTGTGAGTCCTACATGTTGAACTATCTGTGAATTTGGATGGGGCATACGCATGATTCAAACTATGTTCTACTTACTTAGATCTAGAGAACGCCACCTTCACCACAACAGTCGGACAATCAAGACTCAAAGATTACAGTTCACATGATATGAACACAGCGGGATATTATGGACCGGCGCACTTCAGATTACATTTGTAGAGGCTGATCCTCCATGGCCACGAGTGATATAGTGTGTTGGTGGTGGTAAATGTTATGCAAAGGTCAATTCTAAACCATATTGTTATGTGCAAGACCAATAAAAAATCACGATCGACTCGCGATACATGGAAATCTAAGCTAAACCGCGAACAAACGAACAATTATAATTAAAGTTATTGTAAATTTAAATAAACTGGGCGGCAAAAGAAAGTATAGGTCGAGTTCCATGATCGATAACAAAAATAACAAGAAGAGGTTTTGTTGTTAATTATAACGTAACCTAGGGAGGGGTAACAAATGATTGATCAACCACAGTTTGAATGAAATTGTGCAATCACAGGTAATATAAGCTCAAGGTAAACAATGGTGGGGTAAGAAATTTCATTTTCAAAAGTTGTCTGAAATATCACAAAAAATTGTCAGACACACTACAAGTTCATTGTCGACACAGTTGCCTTCAATAGCGTGTATGACCTCCAGCTGCCTCAAGGCATGCTGTGATACGCCGCCTCATCGATGACGTCAGTCTTCTGATGACGTGGACTGGAATCCGTTGCCACTCGTCTCTCAGGGCCTGCTGCAATTCTTGTCTGTTGACGGGAGGCTGATGGCGTGCTCTACTCTGTCTGTCAAGATGGTCCCACAGTTGTTCAATGGGATTCATATCGGGTGAATGGGCAGGCCAGGGCAAAACGTCAACGTTCTGTTGGTTTGGGGAGTTCCGAGTCAGTCTTTGCAGTATGGGGCCTGGCATTGTCGTGTTGAAACAATGCACCCTGCTGTTGGTTTTGTCAGAACGAAATGCACAACAGGCTGCAACATTTGGTCTCTCTACACTGCACAGCGTTCAGGTTTCCCTGTATAATCACAAAAATCAGTCTTCTGGTCTCCACAAATACCGCCCCACACCATGACACCTCCCGCGCCGAATGGATGGACCTCTCGAATACACGCCGGAGCCAAACGTTCCCCTCTTCGTCGATAAACTCGTTCTCTGTCTTAAACCGACTTTCATCACTAAACAGCACTCGACGCCAATTTCTCAATTACCAGCGTCGAACCTGCCTCGCCCATCGCAGTCTTAGGCGTCGATGTTGAGCAGTCAGTACCATTCCAGCAGCACGAAGTCGTCGTAGCACTGTACGTTGGCTGATGGGATGTCCAAACGCTGTTGCTGCCATCGCCGTCGCCGTTACGAATCTGTTTCGCAGGTGAATGAGCCGTATCTTCCAGTGGTGTTGTCACTCGGGGTAGTTCGGTTCTAGGCCTGTCTTGTGTTCTTTTCTGTCTGCCTGTACCGTTGAATTAACCTGGCTACTGTCAATGGTGTACAACCAAACCTTCTGGCAAATTGGACGTGTGTTGACCCCATTTCGGCCATGGCTCTCTCTCTCTCTCTCTCTCTCTCTCTCTCTCTCTCTCTCTCTCTCTCTCTCTCTCTCTCTCTCTCTCCCTCTCTCTCTCTCTCTTTCTGTCTCTGACAGTCGTGACATTTCTTTTGTGTGCTTTCACCACGTGTGGTTATACCCACGCATTTATACAGCTAACATGCACGTGCAGTTTATGCCATAGGCGAGAAACCTGTTTCACCATTTTGGTGTCAGCGCACGAGCCCCGTCAAAGGTGGCGCGTTCGGGTGAGGTGTTTTTTGGTATCTGTTCCTGGGCAGTCATTTTCCCAATACCCACTTTTCACTAGTTATCGCTGTTTTAAAATTACAAATTGCCAACCTATACTTTCTTTTGCCGCTTAGTTCACATACCAATAATATAACGAAAAGTAGATTCCATTGCAAACAACGGTGCATGATGCCTAATTCAAACTTGACCCATAAGCTTGTGCATCGAGGATAAGTTGGTCTTTTTCATATATTTGAAACCCTTTACATAAGCATGTGAATCATTGACAAAATGTATGGGACCGTCTCCGTAGTCTAGCAGTCTAGTGGTAGAGCGTCCGCTCGGAGAGCGGATGGTCGGGGGTTCGATCCACGGCCGCGTCATACTAAAACATGTCAAAATATGGTACTTGTCTGTCGCTCGGCACTAAGGAACAGGGTCTGGTAAGCTCTGAGTCAGTATACTGTTTTTGTGTGGGTATTCATTTTAAACCCAGGCATTGTTGGCTACAATCCGGACTTGTATAAGCAGCCACACATACACAAATATACGTGCATGCACGTCGCTATTTTAGTGCAATAATCGTGGATGCAACGTTAAACACCATTTCACCTCACTTAGGTATGGATGTTACAGTCAATGT